AAGTGGCCAATTTTCTTTGTAAAATATTAGTGCCGCATGTTAAAGACTTGCTAATGCTTTGTTAAATGTTGTTGACTTGTCAAAAACGGTGTATTGCGTCGATCTTGTGAGTCCGCACACCTTCAAATGTAAAATATTTAATTTTATGTTTATCTATCTATTTATCCTTCTAAAATTATAGATTCAATTACACAAGTGGTGGCCTAATAAATGTCTCTGAAAACGCGAAAACGAAATAATGATGAAAAACCATAATTGTTACTTTTGGAAAAAAGTTTAAGACTTGAATAATGTAGATGACATAAACATTATATGAACATCTAAACGATAATATCTCGTTACGATAAGGCTACACCGTAAGACACCATGTAGACGGAGAAGATAGATGTGACGACACCAACTACGGAACCTAGTTTAGTAGAGCTCCCAGCTACGTGGGGTCCGCCACGTTGAATTAGGAGGCTTTCTTAAGTTATTAGGTAGTTTGGGAAAAAATTCATAAAAAGAAAACGAATCCCACGCGCATGTTGACGATTGTAGTCGGTTATTTCGTAAATAAGTAACAAGCCCGAGTCTAGTTTGGACGCTTTTTGTATCGTTGTCTTGGACGTCCAACCCTATTATCTCTCAGCTAATTTCTTCCCCTATTTTTACCTCTGAGCAAATTCACTCAAGATATAAAGTTATATATTATTTTAAAAACTATTTGTAAAATCCGTTGGAAGTCATCGAAAAATATGTAGGAAATGCTCAAGAGATCGCCCCTTAAGTATTGACTATTGTAGAAACTAGAGAAGGATTTGGGGGAAAACTCTTTATTATATGTTCTTGATCTTAATAGAATTGATACACAATATATATAGAGACTAATTTAGGTTTAACCTAATTAGATTAGGAAATAGATAAACATGAATAAGTAAATATTCTAAATCTCTTAATCCTTATCACAATAGGATATCTAGAATATTATTTGACTTCGGCTTCACGGGCTTGATGGGCTTCACGGGCTTGGTCCGCTGTCTTGCTTCCCAAGTTACCTCAATACTCCCCCGCACGACAAACGTGGTACGCAAAACGCAAACTTTGCAATCACAAAGCGAAGCACGTATGTCGTGGACAATATGTCGAGGACGGACAAATCATGTCAACAAACGTCTCAGAGTATAAGCTTCAATCTTGAAAATAGGGGTGGAATTTTTGCTCGTCTTTGGTCTTGGTAAAAAGGGAATACATCCCGTGGGCGCAAATTATGCTGCTCCACAAACAATCATCCTTATCTTGGATGGTCCATAACTTGGACTAAACATGACCTAAAAACATGAGCGTTCTAATAAACTATACTAATGGTTAAACTATAACCAAACTCCCCCGTAATGGTAAAACTATTACCAAACTCAAAATACTTAACAAACTTGAGAAATTCTAAAACTTAAGAATATATCCCAAGAAACCTAACCTGTGAAAACCCAAAAAAGTCTAATCATAAACTTTGTAGAAAAAAAACTCTCCCGATAATTATGCCTCTTGTAACAAATAAAAGAAACTCATTTAAAAGAGAAACCCCAAATAAACTAAATAAACTTGAAAACCATAAAAGCAAAAAGTAAACTAAGACTTCTAATTTAGAAGACCAACGTTTTTTTTTTTTTTTAAAAAAAACAATAATAAATATGTTTAAACACCTAACCCCACGTCATCATCATCTTCATCGGCTTCCTCGCCGTCTTCAACGTTGTCACCTCCAGTGAGTTTCTCCATGATCTCTTATGAAGATGAGATCACAAAATATCTAATGCGGAAGCGTTTTAACTTTGATCCACAAGGATCGACTGCTCTGATACCATGTAGAAAGTAGAGAAGGATTTGGGGGAAAACTCTTTATTATATGTTCTTGATCTTAATAGAATTGATACACAATATATATAGAGACTAATTTAGGTTTAACCTAATTAGATTAGGAAATAGATAAACATGAATAAGTAAATATTCTAAATCTCTTAATCCTTATCACAATAGGATATCTAGAATATTATTTGACTTCGGCTTCACGGGTTTGATGGGCTTCACGGGCTTGGTCCGCTGTCTTGCTTCCCAAGTTACCTCAATAAGTATGCATCATCGTCTTATATAGTGGTCACTTTTGTTTACGTCTTGTTGCGGTCATCTTCTAGAATCTAGACATAAAATGGCCATCTAGTGTAATATTTATTGCAAAATTTTCTTAAGATGTATAGTTATTATTTAATTATTAAATGTAATTGGAGCTGCGAGTCTAATTATTAATATGTTAGAAAGACGGCGGCAGCCAACGATCCACTTTATCAATCTTTATTTGAATGTCTCCATAAAAAATTTCAAGTTTGTGGATTAGCAACATCGAATTAACCCGTTGAATTACTTTCTTTGTTACATTAGCAGAGTTAAATTTCTACAGATATTTTACATTATCTACTATCCATAATTAACCGAAGGAAATAGAGTTTGAAAAGTGTTTTTCTTTGTTAAACGTAGAGGTGCCGATTAGGAAACTAAACCAGCATTTTAGACTAGTCATTTTGTAATGGAACGGATTAGGGTTATAATTATAAATGTCCAAAAAGCTATCAGTTTTTTGCGAGTTAGTCCAATAATACAAAAAGGTTGAATCCGCACAAGTAATAGACCGATCCATAAACATGATACTTTAATCAAACTAAATAAATATTAGTTATTAACTATTAAAAAGATGTACAATTTTAAAGTTCACTTAGTTAAGTAATTTCTGTTTATTGGAAAATTAACTATATTCTACTGAATCAGTATTATTTTAATAAATATAAAAATTAATAAAAGTAATATTTTTATACTTTAAATACTATTATACTAAACAAGAAAAAATGATACTAATTAGGAGGAATTCGAAGGAGAGATACCGGAATACATATAAGGTGTCTTAGACAATAGACATATAGTTTCCACACAAAAAGTATGTTTCCCTCTTCTAGGCTTAGTTTCCCGAGAATTCTCGTCTTCCGACGGCTTAAGAGTATTCAACGATGTATTTTACCATGTATTCCTCCTTGTTAACATTAATAAAACTAGATGAAAAAAAATAATCCTAACTTCTAAACAAAAAGAGTGAAAATAGTATTAAGTAGTATATATTCTAATAATATTATTTCATGACTAATTACGATCCATCATAAACAGATGTTCCCCTTAACATTTATTGTCAATATAAAACAAAAATTAAAGACAAAGCTGTCTCCATACAAAGCAATCTCCTAAATTTAAAGACTTTTGTTGCAGCAACATACAGTACTTGTATATTACTTTTTTCAAACTTATACTATTATTTTTAGAAAAATGGTTAACAATTTGTCAATCTATTGTACATATGTCATATCTACTACAAATTTTAAAGGTAATAAGAAAATTAATTCAATACATTCTTATATCTTCTCTTTAGTTCAATACAATCTTATTAGTCAAGTTCAATTTCTTATTATTAGGTAATTAATAAATTGATCCACAAAAAAAAAACATTCTTGAGTATTAAATCAAACAAATCTGTTTGGTCCAGAGTTTGACTTGTCTTTAGCGACGACTCATTACTTTTCTTTTGGTAATTTATTAAAGAAAATTGCAAATTGAACAAAGAAATAACAGAAAAGTATTGGTGAGAATTTAGATAAATTTAATTTGCCATTTTTTGAATGTACCTTTAAAAAATATTCATTTGGTATTTTCGGATAAACCAATACATAACAAGCTAAATGATAATATTTAATATTTAAATAATTATTAATACGCTTATAGACCGATATATACAAATATCCATAGATTTTCGTATAAAAATGATAGAAAAAATTATGCATTCCGTAATAAATAAAGAATAATAGTAAAACCTTAACATTAACTTGATAGATTAAATTTCTACACTAAAAATATTACAAAAACATATTCAAATATCTTGCAATAATTAAAAGATACTGTAAGAAATAAAACTATCTAAATAAATGTATTGTGTTTTTTGGATATAAAAAAACATTACCATTTTCTTAATTAAATGTCTATTATGTCTACTACTGCAAATATTCTTTTAAAATACTATCATTAAATTTAATACTAGGAAGCCAAAAATTAATCTGAAAAAAACAAGACAGAGTTAAGAGCACAATTTTGTCCAAAAAAAAAAAAGAGTTAAGAGCACAATGATGGGAGGCACATGGAGACAGAACATAAGTTTGCATCCAAACACTACAGCAGCCATATGCACAGCTCTTAGCCACCTTGGCTTTCTTTTTTCTTTTAGTTACTTTATTCCTTTTTCTTCATATTATCCATTTTCCAAAATGTATATGTTCTTTTACAAAACAATATATAAATGGTACTTGTTCTTTATTATCACTCCATAATTGGAGGGTCCTCGCTTCTTCAATACTGGCTTAACTAAGGTTGAAAACAAACAATAGGCTCTGTTTCTTCTTTTATTCAGCTTTGTTTGTTTTGGATCCTTCGTCCTCCTAATACTTCTTGCTAGTTTTCTTTCTGGTTTTTGTTTTTTGTATACGTTTCTCTTCATTTATATAAGAAAGTCTTTTAACAAAAAAAAAAAAAATCACTCCATAATTGACTTTCAAAGTAAAAGTTACATGAAAATTATTATAAATATATAACTTCCTATTTTATGATATAATACTTTTATTCAAAAAATACTTTAGTTTTTTACACTTACCAAAATATGTTCCTTTCGGCGAATTTACGGATTAAAATTGTTTCACAAATACACTCGTTTTTAACTGTTATACAAATTCAATAATAAATACTATCACATGTATTTATGGTAGGTTTTATGTTAAACTGTTATTTTACTATAATCGATATCGGTAAAATTTTCGCAAACGCATTTGTTTTTAATCGCTTGTTTAGTAGTATTCTTCTATTTCAAAATATATGACATTTAGTCAATATAAAATTCCGTCTGATTCTATAAAATTCCGTATTCATATTTACATCTTAACCAGTCAAATCCTAGTATTAATTAAACACTAATCAGCATTACCCCAAAAAAGGTTAATCAGCTATTTTCGTCCTAAAAAAGGTTCCACACTTGCACAACGCATAACCGTTGTAATTCCACCGAAATTCCAATTATACCCTTGGAACCTTCGAGCAAATCTTTAAGACGGCGGCCATAAATGTAAATAAAGTAAGAATTTAGGGTCCACTTTTATAATATAAAAAAAAAGGAACAAGAACGTGAACGATCCGCGCGAGCCACACAAAAAGGTTCCAGCACAGAGAAGAGAGAGAGAGATTGCTTAAGAGACGTTGTCGGACTTGAAACCAGTTTCGGTACCGGAATTGAGGAACTCCGTTCAAATCCGGAGCCATCTAAAGGATAAAGCTTCCAACTTTATCCATTATTTGGAGAGAAATTCTCAGAGAGTACTGAAGTCGAAAAAGTCAGAGAATTTATTCTTGGGTTTCGGTTTTTGGCTTCTGGGTTTTTAATTTCAAGTGTTCAATTTCCGAATTAGGGAAGAAAGTTAGGGTTTTTGTTTTGTTTGTGCGAATTTGGAGAGATGACCACGCCGTTGAAGGTGTGGCAACGTTGGTCTACACCAACGAAAGCGACGAATCCAGATTCAAATGGGTCTAGTCACGGAAAGGGTTTAGACATGGTGACCCCAGTTTCGGGTCGGGTTAGTGAGATCCAGTTTGATGATCCAAGAATGTTGCCTGACAAAATTTCAGAGCTTGAAAAAGAGGTTCGTTTTTTTCTGTGATCTGTTCGTTACTTTACTCTTAATTACTTTGTCGCTTGTAAATTAATCATCTTTACTCGTTCAAGATTTGTTATGGCTCTTCTATGTTTGTGGTTTTTATTTGAGTAATTGCTGATTTTGTTGATCTGATGTAACAGCTTTTTGAGTACCAACACAATATGGGTCTTCTTCTGATTGAGAAAAAGGAGTGGAGTTCCCAGTATGAAGAGCTTCAACGGGACTTCGAAGAGGCGAATGAGTGTCTTAAGCGGGAACGTAATGCGCATCTGAGTGCTATAGCTGATGTTGAGAAGCGAGAAGAGGGGTTGAGGAAAGCTTTAGGGATTGAGAAGCAATGTGCACTTGATGTAAGATTCCTAATTTGTCAAGTTTCGAAACTCTTCTTTATGTTTCTCAATTCTTAATATAAGCTTTATGACACTCTTAAACTGTTGCAGTTAGAGAAGGCTCTGCGGGAACTACGCGCTGAAAACGCAGAGATTAAATTTACAGCTGATTCGAAGTTGACTGAGGCAAATGCATTGGTAAGAAGTGTTGAAGAAAAATCTCTTGAAGTTGAGGCGAAGCTGCGTGCTGTTGATGCTAAACTTGCTGAAGTTAGTAGAAAGAGTTCAGAGGTGGAGAGGAAGGCAAAGGAAGTGGAAGCTCGAGAAAGTTCTCTTCAAAGGGAGCGATTTGCCTACATTGCTGAGTACGTATTGCGCTTATTACCTTGTATCTTTTTTGTATGTTGAATAGTTTATCTTTGTCTCGCTTCCTTACTCCTTATTGGGGAATGGCTCGACTTCTTTTGTTTTTTTTTTTCCTCAGACGAGAAGCAGACGAGGCAACTTTGTCAAAGCAGAGGGAGGACTTGCGTGAATGGGAAAGAAAGTTGCAAGAAGGAGAAGAAAGAGTTGCTAAATCTCAAATGATTGTAAAACAGAGAGAGGATAGGGCAAATGAAAGCGATAAGATTATCAAGCAAAAGGGAAAAGAACTGGAAGAGGCACAAAAGAAGATTGATGCTGCTAACCTTGCTGTGAAGAAACTAGAAGACGATGTCAGTTCGAGGATAAAAGATCTTGCTTTAAAGGAGCAAGTAAGCAGCTCAATTTTTCTTTTAGTATTGTTTTTATTTAAAGTGCTTTGAATCTTTTCAACTTACATACTTCCTCTTGATGCAGGAAACTGATGTGTTGAAGAAATCCATAGAGACAAAAGCGCGAGAGCTACAAGCTCTGCAAGAGAAACTGGAAGCCAGAGAAAAGGCAAGCCCTCTCTCTCTTAATCTCTCCCTATACAATTATATATGTATTTCATCTGTGGATAAATCTGATACAAAGCAATTCAGTTTGATATTTAGTTGATGAAATTGCTTGCTGACTGCAGCAAGTTCAGTTGCCCATTCTGAGCTTAGTTCTCTGGGCAGGATAAGTTTTCAATTTCCATCTCGATTTTGTTTATTTGCTATTGTTTCATATTTCGTATCATTTTTCGTTTGCAATTATTGTTTATTATGCAGTATTCCTTTATCTGTATTAGTAAACGATTAATCATGTTCTTGACAAGGTTGATATCACGTTTCCATGTCATTTTGATTATTACATGTGTGCATTCGGGGTGTTAACTTTTTAATGTTGGCTAATTGACAGATGGCAGTTCAGCAACTAATTGATGAACACCAAGCTAAATTGGATGCAACACAGCGTGAGTTTGAATTGGAAATGGAGCAGAAAAGAAAATCTATTGATGACAGCTTGAAGAGCAAGGTTGCAGAAGTAGAAAAGAGGGAGGCCGAGTGGAAGCACATGGAGGAAAAAGTTGCTAAGCGTGAACAGGCATTAGATAGGAAACTGGAGAAGCATAAAGAAAAAGAAAACGATTTTGAGCTAAGACTGAAAGGCATAAGTGGCAGAGAGAAAGCCTTGAAAAGCGAGGAGAAGGCATTGGAAGCTGAGAAGATAAAACTACTCGAGGATAAGGAGATTATTCTCAATCTTAAAGCTTTAGTCGAGAAAGTAAGTGCTGAAAATCAAGTACAGCTATCAGAAATTCACAAAGAGAAGGAGGAGCTTAGAGTTACTGAGGAAGAGAGGTCTGAGTATCTTCGTCTGCAAACCGAATTAAAGGAGCAAATAGAAAAGTGCAGGTCTCAACAGGAGCTTCTTCTGAAAGAGGCTGAGGATCTGAAGGCCCAAAGGGAAAGTTTTGAGAAAGAATGGGAAGAACTTGATGAGAGGAAAGCTAAGATCGAGAACGAATTAAAGAATATAACTGATCAGAAGGAAAAACTAGAGAGACACAATCACTTGGAAGAAGAAAGGCTGAACAAAGAAAAGCAGGCAGCAACTGAAAACTTGCAAAGGGAGCTAGAAGCTCTTGAAGTGGCAAAAGCTTCATTTGCAGAGACTATGGAGCATGAGCGTTCAATGCTCTCTAGAAAAGCTGAGAGCGAAAGAAGTCAACTGCTTCATGATATTGAAATGCGTAAAATGAAACTCGAGTCTGATATGCAGACTATACTGGAAGAAAAAGAAAGGGAGTTGCAAACGAAAGAGAAGGTATTTGAGGAAGAGAGAGAGAAGGAATTGAGCAATATTAATTACCTAAGAGATGTAGCCAGAAGAGAAATGGCGGACATGCAGAATGAACGACACAGAATAGAGAAAGAAAAGCTAGAAGTTGATACTAGTAAAAATCATCTTGAAGAGCAGCAGACAGAAATCAGGAAAGATGTTGATGACCTTGTTGCCTTAACCAAGAAACTGAAGGAACAGCGGGAACAATTCATTAGTGAGAGAAATCGTTTCCTTTCTTCCATGGAAAGTAATAGGAACTGCAATCCGTGCGGTGAACTGCTTTCGGAGCTCGTACTTCCTGAAATTGATAACCTGGAAATACCTAATATGTCAAAACTGGCCAACAGTCTTGATAACGAAGCACCAAGGCAGGAGATGAGGGATATATCACCAACTGCTGCTGGCTTAGGATTGCCAGTTACTGGTGGGACGGTGTCATGGTTCCGGAAATGTACTTCAAAGATACTTAAGTTGTCCCCAATAAAAATGACAGAACCCTCTGTTACTTGGAATTTGGCTGATCAAGAACCTCAATCTACTGAGCAAGCTAACGTGAACAGTGGGCCATCAACTACGCTTCAGGCAGCGACGACCTATTCCTTTGATGTTCAAAGGGCCGAATCCGAAACTGGCACAAAAGAAGTCGAAGTCACCAATGTAAACTCAGATGGTGATCAAAGCAACATCAACAGCAAGGCTCAAGAAGTTGCTGCAGATTCTTTGTCCAATCTAGATGTCGATGGTCAATCACCCTTGAAAGGGAAAGGGAAAGGGAAAGCCAGAACCAGAAGAACACGCTCTGTCAAAGATGTTGTTGAAGATGCTAAAGCTATATATGGAGAATCTATAGACCTATATGAACCCAATGATTCAACAGAAAATGTTGACGACTCTACTAAAGCAAGCACAGGTGAACCTGTTCGTTCTGATAAAGCAATTTCAAAGAATGGACGGAAACGTGGGCGTGTGGGTTCTTTGAGAACTTGTACTACTGAGCAGGATGGTAACGAGAGCGATGGAAAGTCAGATAGTGTCACCGGAGGAGCACATCAGCGGAAGAGGCGCCAAAAGGTTGCATCAGAACAACAAGGAGAAGTTGTAGGACAAAGATATAATCTCCGGCGACCTAGAAGGTTACTTCAAATCCCATTTACTTACAAACACAATCCCTGAGGATAATGCGTTGGAACTGTTTATTGTCTTTTTATTCAGGCTGTTTAATAAATGTTTCACTTTTGGGTTATTAGGGTAACTGGAGAAACCACGCTAAGTAAGAAGAATGAAGAGATTGGTGGAGTGCAACAAGACGAGGAGGTTCACTGTGCTCAAGCCACCGCCACAGCATCAGTAGGTGTTGCTGTTAGTGATAATGGAGTAAACACGAATGTAGTGCAGGTAGAATGCAGCTATCACAACTTACTAACTTAGCTGGATTTTTGTTTTTCCCTCTTCTTTTGAATTCTCTCTCTTGACAAATCTGTTTCTTTTAATTGTCTGTTTCAATAGCATGAAGCCACAGCAGACTCTCAGGATACAGATGCTGGTTCGCCCAAAAGAACAGGTGAGAGTGAGGCAATGAGTGAAGATGTGAACAAAACACCCCAAAGGGCTGACTCGGATGGTGAGGATGATGAATCGGATGCAGAACATCCCGGGAAAGTCTCCATTGGTAAGAAGCTTTGGACTTTCTTGACGACGTAGCCCATCAGAGAATGTAGTTTGGCCTATGATGATGAAGAACTAATCTTCTTCTGTTGACAATATTAGTGTTTTGCTTCATGATCATTAGCTACTTAGGAGGCTTGTGTTAATTTCGTTTGGATATTTTTCACCACAATGTAGTGTTTTCTTTCTAGCTTTCTACCACTTAGTTGCTATCTTGTTAAAGAGAATCTTTAAGAATTCTCAATTCTTTTGGTATGTTTTAGATGATGATTTATTTATTTTATGAGAGTGATCTCCTTGTAACCACAAAGTGTGTGCATTTGATGATTTGATCCATTTTTATGTGTTTTTGTTTGTTTTGGGAATGATACAAATAGCATAACTTGGATGCACAAAATTTCAACTTTCTGCTTTAAATACTGTAATAATAGATGAGAATTATTATCATGAACAATCTTAAAATAAGAAAAGAATAATAATATAAGTTGCACAGAAGGAATGAATATATATTGACGAATTTTTTTTTTTTGCCATGTTACACCAACAGGGAAAAAAAATTAAACAAGCAAACTTAGAGGGTGTTACTGGTTACTAATTTACAAGGAATTTTGATGACTTTAATAAATCATAGAAAATAAATTAAATGAAAAATTCTAAACTATAGGTAGAGAGTTTTCTATAATCTTGTTAATTAGTTTTTTTTCATAATGTAAAATTTTCCAAACAATTTCTCTATTTTGATGATACTTTTCATGACTTGTATAGAAAGTCATAAACCAATAACATAATAATTTAATTCATTAACAATCATAGATTAATTTGTTTTAATTGAATAACACAAAACTTTTAATAACTTTTTAAAAGTATGAATCCAATAACAACAGATTTATAAAAAAATTTAGATTACTTTTTACAAATCTTAAATTAATAACATCAAACTTTAACAACTTATAAAAAATCTTGATTGAATAACAACATATTTTATATAAAAGTCACTAAAACTCTATTTAAATCACAAACCAATAACACCCCAATATTTTCTATCTATCGAACAACACTTGACAAAGAAAATAACATTTGAAACAAGACCTGAGTCCATCACTCTTGACAGTATTAAAAACAGAATAATTATCGATGTAAGAGAAGGTTTTAGCTTCTGTACAGTTTCTCTTTAAAAACTATCAGAGCACCTAAGCAATGTACACATTAGTCCGTCTGAATCCTCTGTTAGTGCCTTTACACCTTCCTGATCAAGACTTCCTTCCTGTCTCTGAGAATATAAGAGATATCAAAGTTAAAAAAGCTAAAGTTGCAGAGATCATTAAAATCATAAATAGAGGAATAGAAAATTTACCTGCAGTGCGGTACGGGGCATTTGAGATCTTGGCAATGGTGCGCGTGAATCCTTATTGTCTGCCACAATCTGCTGCAAATGTTACAACGATCTCCCTTCTCTCTCATTTTGCATTGTGCATTGTGACTGAACAATACTTTAACTTCATGGCATTTCGGGTATGAGCATGACTTAGTGGTCGTGGCTTGGCACAGAAACGCATGCGATATTGCGTTCAATATCTCAAGAACCTAAGAGAGTATTAAGTTGTTTAACTTAGTAAACGGGTAAAATATAAAACCAAAGTAAAGAAAGAAACATATACTTATACTTACCATTACGGTTCTAGGCGGCGCTCCATTAGCTGAAGGGAGTGTGGGGAAAATATGAAGATGACGCAGGGTTGTGTTTTTGGTATAGCATCCAGTGCAAGCTCGGTAATCCGGACAGAGCAAACAAGGGAAGTAAATCGTGGTCGACACATCTTTTTTGCAGGCCGTGCAGGTGAGACTGCTAGTGTTTTGAGAGTGATGTTGCTTGTTTGAAGTGTGAAGATGGTGAAGTATCATCATCGAAGAATGCTTGGCATGTCGAAGCGTGTGAAAGTTGTAGTTATGCTTTTGAGAAAAATCTAAGAACGCTTGTCTGCTTTCGAACATATCGTTTTCTTGGATGATATCATTATCCTCTGTTGTAGAAGACAGTACGCCGTTCACCTGAACCTATGGAAGTAAAACCAAACCCAGTTTAGTAAAATGAGTTAAATCAATTTCCTAAACAAGAAAATCATTATGATCAAGAAAGCTAATAACCTTAGAGAGCTGATGCTTCTCTTTCTCATTCCTCTTATATATGTGTTCCCCAGGAAGCTCTTGTTCTGCATCATAGCAGCTTTCACACAGTTGAAGATTCTTGCACTTCTCGCAAAACCATCTCAATCCCGATAATATGGCTTTCGAACAGCGTGTGCATGAATAATTCAAATCCACCACCATGAAATCCTCCTTAAATGGGAATACCTCTTTCGCGAGCTAAACAAAACAGAATTGTTAAAAGATTAAACACCCTCAAAAGTTACCAAAAAAAGAAGAAAGATCCATATTTGAATTCTAAGTACATTCAAAATGTAAATAATTACCTTTTCCATTACGAGAACGTTTTTTACATCATCAACATCAACACCAGCCGTAGTTTTGTAGCTCATAGTCTTTACGTTTCTTCTAGAAAGCAATTTAACCTTCTTCTGCAACTCATTATTGCCTTCTTTCTCAATCTCTTGAGTCAAAATCTCAGCCCGAGTGCACCAGAAAGATCCTTCAAAGTAAGGCAACCGTGCAGCTGTCATATGTTCCTCTGTTGAAACGAAGAACCGATCATACAAGTTTGTAACATTCATCACTATCCTCCGCTCTGCTGCTTTTTGGAGCAATGACATATACCTGTATTAACAACACGTTGTTAATGTCAAATCCAATTTCTTCACAAGAACAATGACCAAAGGATAAAGCCGGGATCAAGTGGAGAAAAAGGAAGAAAATACATACCATTGGCGAAGCTTCTTAGTTTGGGGGGTTTGCTGAGTCTTAGGATGAGAATACATAATGTAGTCTTGTCCTTTCTTTGGTGGACACGCCCATATATAACTCGTCGTGAAACCCCGGAGCTTACAATACTCAAGATATCCAATCTATCAGAGATAAAACATAGAAACATGTCAATGTCAATGATAATTAGGTTCTAATTGGCATTTAAGCACGATGAGATAAAAGAGAAATGAATATTTACCAATATCTCATGATAAACGAAAGTTCGAAGAGCTTCTCCTCCGAATGTTACTCTCTCAGGTCTAAAGTACTTGACGGAATCTAGATATACGATGTATGTGCTGCGTTGATTTGGTTGGCTACATTCTGATCCAAACTCTTGGACAAACAAGGCAAAGATGCATATATCAACTCCGTCGACTTTCTGAAATAGAAGAATAACCTGAAACATCAAAAATTAACAACAACTAAGTAAGTTTTGAAATACATAACTGCATCAAAAAGTCAAATATTCAATTGTGGTACTACTGCTTCTCACCTTTGATCTGTAAGGGAATTCACTAGGAAAGTTTTCTCTGTGAAGTGAATTGGCAAATTGTTTGTTGACGGTTAGGGTTTTATCAGCCGAAAACACGACTCTGAGAGTAAGACCTTCTGGTTCAGATACCTGGAAAGAAAACAGTTTTAAGTTCAGTATAAAGAAACGGAAACTCAAACAGAATCTCAAAATGAATAGAAACCACATCATATTCTTACATCATGGATGCTCTTCCCAGTAGCCTTTGCGGTTTGGTGTCTTTCTTCCTTGAGGCGCTTGAATAGCCTTTGCTCTAAAAAGTAGCTGAGGATGGTTTCCGGCAAATCTTTTGCTCCCGAAGAATCCGTATTGTCATCGAGTCGCATGTTGTTGATACTTTTAAGCTCCTTTAATAAACATTGAGGACAAAAATAGTCTGCAGTCTTGTCTTGATCTTTATGCTTATTGTAGAGACCACATATCTGATGTTGCCATTTTTCGCAAGATTCACATTGAACCCACTGCTCCAACAAAAGTAGCTTATGTAGTTAGTAAGATTTCATGAAATGAGAGATTCAGACAGAGAGAAAGAGAGAGAGAGAGAGGGATGAAGTTTACCTCCTCCGTATCTCCGTTGTCAACGTTATTCCTTTTAAGCATTTTGTTTTTGTCGATAAAGATTCCACATAAAGTGAACTTGGTTTTACATTTAGTGTGACAAGGACTGCAGATCTGATGTTTCGCATCGGTTAGTTCTTCTTCCCCGGGGGTGTAATAGAAAGATTCGTCATCGATGTGGCGGTTGCATAATGAGCAGTATAAAGGGGGTGGTGGATACAAGAGTCTGCCATTAACACACAATTGACATGGTTCCTCATCCTCCTCCTCCTCCTTGTGGTCACACATTTCTCTGGTTGCGCTCTGTGTAACAACAAAAGGATTAATAACCAAACAAATTAAAAGACACACAAAAAGCAAAAAAGCAAAAAAGCAATGAGAAGGCCAAATAAGTTACCTGAATACTTGGCTTCTTAAGACTCATTATATGCAGCTTTATCTCTTCTTCTGTGAAACGTTCGACCAAAGAGACACCTCTCTTGTTACGTTTTTGCAGAGACATTGTGGCAGCATTAACCTCACACTTGGTCACTTCATTACATTTTATCGGCTCAACAATATCCACACCAATTCCAAGTTTCTTCTCATGGTTCAAAGACCTTTCCTTTGTTTGAATGTTTCTTCGGTTTGTCGTAGTAATCAGATCCGCGAAAGAATAAACCTTGATTATCTTCGGTTTTTCTGATTTTTTATCTTTGGTAGTACTAGGAACCTGAACATCCTTACTATCCAAAGGAGAATTGTTCTTCACATCTTCCTTCGTTATGTCAGAACCGCTGTTTGTGTTGGAAGCAGCCTCTCTACTAACCGGCATTGGGGATGTATTTAAACGTCTTCTAGCATTAGCAGTAACCTCCTCAAAACTTGGCACTGGAATCAAACATTTCTTCTCCGCAGCAGAGCTAATCGACTCGGGACTCGGATATGGCTCAAGAGGAGGGATTGGAGATAAACCGTTCAAAGGACTACAATTATTCAGCTTTAACGATGCTTCCTTTTGCCTCCGCTTTGATGGATAATAACCATTGTCTAGCTCTCTTGACATTCCGTTTCGACGATTAACATTTGACTGAGATTTTTTCGATCTCGATCTACGAAACTGTGCGTCTTCTTCAGATGTAACATTCGACTCCGCAGGTAGATTGTTCAACCGCTGATTGAACTCATCGAAATCTCCTGATTCATCAAGAAAATCAGGCATCAAGTCCAATGGCCTTTTACGCGGTGGCGCCATCAGACTATGTTCCCTGCACAATTCAAAACAGAGAGCTATTAGAAAACGAAAAATCACCAAACCCGAATTCGAAGGAATTAAAAATTGTCAAAAAAGTTTAAAACTTGCTACAGAGTAAAACATACACCAAATCAATTTTGTTTTAGCTTGTTGCCCAAGTTATATACTAATTGTTGGATTAAGAGTCTTACATATAAAAATCAACAAATCAATCAAGTGTTGGATTAAGAGTCTTACATATAAAAATCAACAAATCAATCAAATTAACACTCGATTTCACAGATTAAGCTTATTAAACACTCTTCGATCTCCAAAAAAACATAACCTTTAAAGTCCTCCAAAAATTTTAAAGTTTTCATTTTTCCAACGAAATCGCCAAAATTGATGCAACACTCTCCTCAAAAACCATAATTACGTGATGATAATCGACAAGCGAGGCATGACAAAAACCCTAATTAGCTACGTCAGCTACAATTCAACACCCGATCATAAAGACAATATCACAAATTGTTCGAAGAAGAACCCAAAACCAAAACCCTAATCGAGTAAATAAGAAGCAGAGAGGAAGAAGAAAGGTGTAACCTTTATTCTTCTCTGCGTCAGACAAAAGAAAGATAGTTGAAAGAGAAAAGCCTCTGACTTCGTTGCTCTTATGTTGTTACCTTAATTAGGGTTTCCGAGATTTTCTTTAATCGTCAGTATTTATCTTAGATTTACTTAAGGATGTATTTTAGATTTAAAGCCAGTATTTTTCGGTAGTGATGTAAATTATTCAGGCTTTTTCTTTGTAAGGTTAATAAAAAAAAAGCCTTTTACTGTTTAGGAGTTTTTTTTTTTATCTATTAATTTTTTTATTTAGTTTACCGTTAGGACACGAAATTACGCGGGTATTTATAAGACAAAAGTTTCGTTATTTATAATAGAAAAGAAAACACAAAAATCTATGGAAACTTAATTATAGATAAGAATTGTGAAAAATACTTTTGATAAGTTTGACTGAAGTTACTAATAGTTTTTTCCAAATTATTTGTTTTAGGTTTATTCAATGGATACAAAGAGTTTTAATATATTACCATAAACTTATTGCACTCATAATTGAATAGAAGTGTTTTGTGAGTAATATGGAGTTATGGTGTGGTGTATAAAGATGTTTATTTAGCTTTGTACTAGCTGACTCCGGGGAATGGACTTGGTAGGGGAGTTCGCACCGTTTGCATAATTCAGTTTGTGAGGTTCCATTCTAGGAAAACTCATGGAAGTCGTCAGAAGAGCCGCTCTCACATGACACGGGAGACGTATGTGATCGAGGGCTTTGTAAACTTCGCCGTTGACGGTTTAGTCTCGGATCTCTTTTGAAAGGCTTCTACTGCGTCTTTTGCTTGGGAATTTGGCTTCTGCAAACTGTAACCGCCCTTCGTCTCCAGCTTACCACTTGGGAAGAACACCAATATCATTATCACTTCGTCCAACTCCATTCGCCTCGTGTCAATGTCGAGTGGACGATTGAGTTCATGTTTGTGAATTATGCTTCCATGTTTTTAGCTTATTTTGCTATGAGACCATCTCTATAAGATTATAATCTATGTTTGTAACCTAAAGCTTTTTCATTTTTACGAAATATTTACATTTTAGCAACAAAAAAAATTGATCTTTTTGTTGGAAATTTACTTTATTTGTAGATATACCCCTTAAAATATTAATAATTACAAAACTCACATATCAAAAACCTTTTTTTACAAAAATTCAATTGTAGGTATGAATCACGACTATTGAAAGAACATGATGGTAGTAGTAAATTTCCATACCAAATGGTGGATATGAAAACATGGAGAGACAAGTTTGCAGTTTAGGGACATATGTTACCAAAGCGTAATTAATATGATCATGTAATTATATTTGATATATGAGAAAATTCTACGAAAAATACACCAACTATTTTCCGATTTTCACAAAAATATACGAACCTTTTTTTCGCATTATGATTGGTGGCTCGTGTAATAGTGTAGCATTATTAATCTTTAAACTAATTTAATTACTATTTTATCGTTAATGAGTATCGGGACGAGCTAGATTCACTGAGATATATTAATTTTAGTAGACAAACAAAAACAAAAACAAAAAATCTTGTACATTGATGGACGGACATGTTACAAGTTTTAAGGCTAAGGACGTTAAGGTTCGATTCCGCCTTGAACAAAAATTGAGCATACACCATTTGGCTTAAGCTTGAATGTTTTAACAGTAGTTGGCTTACTGATGGATCTGCTCACCACATGATTAATCGGGCGCTTGGAGCGAAACTTGGATACCGATGCTAGATCTAAAACAACTTAATCCCTAAAACGTTATTATACATCCCACACTCACTAATGAATTCATCTTCTGCTGCTAAAACTAAATGGATCTTACCTCTTTCGGATCCCGGGCTTATTGGTCATAAACCGAACCCATGATCATATCTAATGCCATACCTTGGAGGAAAGCTCGAAGACAATTGAATACCTGGAGGGCCCATCTCATATGTATAATTTTGTGGTCGAAGGTGATCATGATAATAAGTATGTCCTGTGTTATTCCTCTGTTCCCATAGCCATGAATCTGCGTTTTCTGGTATGGGTGCATTAATCCCGGGAAACCCAACTGTCATTATCTTTCTTGGCTCTCGAGGGCTTGCTTTTTCCAAGATTTCACCTTCCTCAGTCTTACCTTCTTCCTCTTCTTTAGTCTCTTCCTCACCAAATATAGTGATTGCCGAGAGATCATCGTTGTCTTCTACACCTACGTGATATAAACAAATAAGCAGAGGCAACCAAGTCATGAACAAAGATGCCATTTTATCTATCAATTTTAAAACGGTAATGGGTTGGGTTGGAAATAAATTATCCATTTTAACACCACTCTAATGAAGGATAACAAGAGAGAGCAGGAAAGCTTACCTAAATATCCTGGTGGATATCCAATCTCTCGCATTCTGTGAAGCCATGGAGGAGGATCGAGTTCCTACAAAAGATAAAAATCGCTTAATCAGGAAGCACATTTTCTCTGGTCTAATTCCAATACCACGGAAGAAGGTTGAAAATTACCTTTAGACCGAGAAGCTTACGCGTCTCTGCATCAAGTGAGCCAGGCTTCAAGCCATCATATTTTCCACCTTGAGGGCTCTGATAATATCGGGACGGTAAACGGGATCCAGGAGTCTGATTTCTTTTGCTTTTATGTTGCCTCCGAGCATTACTAACTGCTGATCGATCAAAAGGCTTTGGACATTCTCTAATGGAATGACTGTATGCGCCACAATTGAAGCACCGTGGAGGATCATCAATAATCTCCAAGCCTCTGGAGCAATAAAGACAAAACAAATTCAAAAGAATGCACAAGGCAGATAATAGAGTATCAGTAACACATTCATTGTCACAAGGTAAACGAAATCAGATTGAAGGATAAAACTAGATTTGTTTACCCTTCCAAGTTATTTGAACCACCGGATGAATCTAAACCAATTGTAAATCCACGATTATAAAGAGGAGTAGTGCTACTTTCCACTGGAACAGACTTCTTCGAAGAACTGTGACCAGTTTGGTAGTCAAACCAATATGACTGCACATGTAAGAATACATCTATCAGTATGGATTACGAAAAACCTGATAACTTCAAGCTTTTATATGCTTGAAAAAAGAGTTTCACTCACTACAGATGATGTCTTCTGCAATCCCACACGCAAAGCAGGAAAGTATGTCTCATCACCAGATTCTAGTACTTGTTCTTGATCCTGTTCATATTGCAAACAAAAAGTTTCTAGCTTAGGTAATAACATGAAATAGTCAGCAAACAAGTGTCCTTATCATTCTTTCAATCACAACTTGAAACTGATCGAATATTGCAAAACACAAGAATTCACTGTATTGGCAATTAAAAGCACTTCAGAAGACATCAAATCATAGCTACCTCAGACAAGGAATTTTGTTCTGCTTCCCATTCTGACCATTGCTGTAATAAACTTTCTAGCTTCTGCTTACTATTTCTGAAAGATCCAGGACAATAAGAATTAAAAAAAGTAGAACACCAAAAATCATATAACGATAGCAATGTTTGAGCATTCAAATGTTAAAACTTTCATGTTATCGAGTTAAGAGTCTTCTTTTCATCTAACCTTGTTAAGTGTTTATAAGTAACATGGACAGAAGGTTGCTGTTCCAGAGAGATTGTTCTGGGTCTTTTAACACCAGATTTAGCTGACACATGGAGTTATGGAAAAGAAAGAAAGAGAACATAATCTCAAAGCAAATGATTAACTAAAGTGTTCAAATTCCATGTCAATCCTAAAGTGTGTTTGAATTAACTATATTCGAAGCAGAGGTGTTTTAAGTAACACAAGCATTAGCAACCGCCAACATAAGAAGAAGAATAAGGATACAACTAACATCCACTTTAACGGTGTCAACACTGACATTGACAGCATCCCGAACCTCCACTATCGATGCTTCCCCTGAAAACTGGCCAGACACATTTCTGAAATCATCTTCTGTTAGATCCATGTCTTCCTCCATGTCTATACTTATTTCCCCCTCCTCAGCTGATAAAGTCAAGAATAAAAAAAAACAGAATAAATCACAAAAGCTCTTCTTTATTCAAATCAAAACATACAAACAAAATCCCTCAGCATAGCCAATAAACAAAGCTCAAAGATTTTCCCTCTATCGGAAACCGATGAACCCTATAAAGCTCTCTCTAAATTGGATGAGTCTCACAAACAAGACCTCTAAGAAACCGAAATAAAGAAATGGAAACTCGATAAAACTTCCTAAATCAGTAAACACAAAGAATACATATCATCAACAAAAGAATTGAGGTCATGTTTCTGACCTTCCAAACCAGAGCCGCTTGAAGCTGCCATTTTTAACTAAATCGAGTAAACTATTATCTCCTTAAAAAGTTTCACTAATCATCCACCAATGATAAACCCTACATAACAAAAGCAAACACCAATGAGCAATTCCAAAAACTCTACACAACATTCAGAATCCAATTCTATCAAGAACCCAATTCTCAGTGTAAACAAAAACAAGATTCTTCGAGCTAGTCAATTCAATTACAAGCTCATAGTGTTTTCTCCAAAACCCAATTGAAAAAAATGGAAACTTGAAGCAACAAGAATCAAAAGTGTTTCACTTCAAAACCCTTGGCCAAAAAGAAGAACTTGAAATCGAAGGGAATATGAAACGGCACCGAAGCTCACGAAAGAGAAGAACTTGAAATCGAAATTAGAAGAAGAAGAAGAAGGAAACGAGAGACAAGAAGAAAGGTTTAACCTTTATCAACGGGAAACAAAATTCTGGGAGACACGAGTGAAGAGGCGATAGATCTGTGGGTGATTCAAAAGAGAGGCTTTTATTTGTCCGCCCAAGAAGAACAATCACAAAATTATCCAATGTGACCAAGTTCACCGTAACTATTATAAAACCCACCCACCTTAATTTTCCTTTTTTGTTATTATTAAATCTCTTGACTTTTTATTAACAGAAACAAAAATCAAAATTTGAATTCTACCCAAAAAAAAAAACAAGTTCACGTTTTAATATTCGATAAATACAAAATTGTTTTTGATGAGTTTAAAAAAAAATTGCATGTTTTATTTTATTTTTCTTCTACAAATTCCTATCTAACTTTTTATTTTATATTTTTATAAAATAAACTAAAGTTGAATATGTGGGATAAATGGGTAGAAAAACCCTCACCTTTCTTAAAAACATAGAAAAAACCCTCAACTTTTTTTGTGGGTATTTAAACTCTCACATTTTTCATAAATAGTAAAATAAACCCTAGTATTAATAAACTTAATTTAAATTCAAACAATTCGTTATACTAAAACATAAATAAATAGAAACAATTTGATTTAGGATTTTTCTTCTAAAATTCTAGTTTACAATCTTTTTCTAAATTAAAATTTTTTAAGTTATAATGTAAAAAAGTTAATTAGTAAAGTTTTATTCGGTTGTGTTACAAAAATTCATCAACGTGAAACCAAACAGATTTTGTTAAGAACTATATGTAAATTCTTATATCGAAACCGAATATGAGTTTATATTAATAAAAGTTTATTAGGTTCGATCACACAAATTTACTAACGTGAAACCAAACCAAATTTATAATACTACGAAAAGTACATGAATTTCCACATCAAAATATTTTCATTGGACAAACTAAATAAGATTTACTAACAGTTAATATTTCTGTATATATATATATATTACGATATATTAAAATATAATATAAACTATATTTAATTAATTATTATTTAACTATATTTTTATCCAAAACCTGAACACTGGAATAAAAAAAATCAAATGTGATATCCTATAAATTTTTGTAGTTTATATAACATAACTTCTAATTGTAACGAAAATAATTTCCCTAATCTTAACTAAATGGTGAATGAATTTTCATAGCGCAAAAACTCTAATTTTAGAAAGAAAAATCATAAACTCGAATTAGAAAAAAAAATCGTAAATTAAATTATTTTTGTTTCATACTGTTTTAATATAACGATTTAAAAAAAAAATTTAAGTTGAGTTTATTAATAATAGGGTTTATTTGACCATTTATAAAAAGGTCAGGGTTTAAAAATCCACAAAAAAAATTGAGGGTTTTTTACATGTTTTTAAGAAAGGTGAGAGTTTTTTTACCCATTTTTTCGAATATGTGCTATCCGATAATAGTATTTGTAAAAAGTTCACCGTCTCATCTATTTTTTTTTCTTATGCTTGGCACGGTGTTATATATATTCAACTTTTATCAGGTCCTCCTCTAGTACTTGATTAACATGACAATGATCATTGGCATTGCTTTCATTATCAAACACGATTTATGGGTTGTGCCAATAGAGAAAGGAAATTAAGGTAAAATTACATCAGGTCTAAGAAGAAAAAAAATATCGAGCATAATCGGTTAGTTCTGAGCTATTTTCTGGTGAAATATCGAGAGAGGAAATATTGGGAATATAGAGAAAATTTTATCCGCCAAACATATTAAATTTCACACGTTTTTATATACATATTCAGACTTTGACGGTTCATTGTATACTTGATCCTAAATATAAACATTTTTCTCCTAAGTTACCTTCGATATAGAGATTTAAGAATTCACAGTTTACGCAGTCGACGGAATACTTGCTAGCAATCTCAAGACTTCCTTAACGATTGATTCAATGAAATCACTCTCCGAACTGTAAAAAGAACAATAACAATAAGACGATGTAATTTTATTTTTATTTTGGTATACAAAGACGATGTAATTTATGTTTTACATAACCATTGGATGCACCACGAAATTAATGTAGAATTCACCTTGTGTGTGGGTGTCATTCCTAGCTAATCAGTAATTAACGTACATAAAAACTAGGCATGGAGCGGTGCCATGCATGAACCATTTGAATATGGAATTCTAAACATTACGTTGATATGTCAAACCCTAAAACTATGCATCTATTATATATTTATCCGACTTAGATATTTCCCTCAAAGAGATCTTTTATATATACTACTTACTAGTGAAGTATGGATCTCAAGAAAAGATTGCAATACCTTTTCTCATCAAACGTGAGGCCAAGCTTACCAGAAAGAAAGGCCAACGCCTCTTTCCATCTATCAATTCTCGGTTTGTCAAACCGATATTCCCACTCTCGATCTCTGAAATGGTCACCAAACTCTCCTTTGAGTTGTTTCACACTGGTTGTAGTCACCTTGTAGAAGATGGGAAGCACCTAGTGATCACATCGAGTTTATTAATACACAACACTCCTCTACTCAAATATCTTTCTTTAGCTAAAACTATGCATGCATAGAAATATACATGATGATCATCATCTCACCTTGAGCATGCCTTGCTCCACACAGTCTTTGATCTTCACAGCCTCTCTCAAACACCACCTTGATTCTGTGTACCTGCTCGAGAACACAACAATGGCGATTCTAGAATCCTCGATCCTCTTCAATAGAATACTGATATCTTCACCTCTAAGCTCTTGATTGTCTATAAACACATTGATCGCATTTCTCCTAAGGGCTTCCACAAGATGGCTAACAAAGTTTTGACGCAGCTGTTCTCCTCGAAAGTTGATAAAAACTTGATGTTGCGGCGGAGCATCCTTGCGGTTCATTTATATGGGACCACAAGAAGTAAAGTAAAGCAAGGGTTATTTTGTACATCTAATAGATGTTGTTTAAACTTGAGAAGGCTTGAGGCCCAAGAAAGACATAAATAAGTCGGTTTATGTTTAGAAGTTTCTAGATAATTGTTTAGGAGATATCTAAACCTAATCCTAGTGTGTTTAGGATTTGTCTAATAAGTTCTCTATATATAGAGGTGCCAAGGTGTGGCTAACCCTAAGAGATTTGAGAGAGAACAAGCGAGATTTGTGAGGTTTAAGTTTTGAGTAAGTTTCTTAAACATAATAAAGAGAGAGGTCTTTGTTAAACAAGTCTTGAGTTCTTAAAGTTTGGATCAATAATAGACAGGATCACAATTGAGACAAAGCCAAGTGATTTTGGTCAATAGTTTAAACCCGCTTCGGGCCATAAAATTCACTGGACCGGCCCTCATCAGAGTCCATGCAGATAGTCTGGATTCCCCTACTTAAAAAAAAAATTGGATATATACCCCCCTTGATTGTGGTAGTTCAACTAAGGTCCAAAACCTATGAGTTGGCTTAACACAACTCTTGAACTTTGAGGGAAAGCAGGACACACTTAGATCTTTTAGTTTACCTGTTTTGAGTAGATTGGTATTTTGCCAAACTCCTTTCTCTCCGCATTAGCATCAATGACTTTTGGGGTGGTCCGAGCTTTAGTGTATATTTTAAGAGCAAGATCATTATCCACAGTCTAAAACAAATAGATTACCATTATAGTAGTTAAAAAAAGACATAAAACATTCTAAATAAAAATAGTTAATTTAGTTTGATTATACCTTAACAAGGTCTCCAAGTTCTTCGCTACATTCCAACTTGTCATCCGCCAACCAGTTTTCCAAGAGGTTCTTCTTGCCTTGATTCACAACAAGCGAAGATAGTTCCAATGATTCAAATGCATTGAGCTTTCCTTTTGTCAATAGAGTCGCAAAATATTGTAACAATGGATGATTTTGTCCAGCTTGTACATGAACATTCTACAAAATTATATAGATTGTCATATTGTAGTTTTACAGTATAGAATCATCTATATTTAGTAATAGAAAAACATGTTAAAACGTAACTAATGGATAATTTATGAAATAAATACTGACCCGAAATTTGGCAATTGTATCAGGTGTCCGGAGAATGCCTCGAGGAGATTCAGCAGCAAGCTCAGCAGCCTCCTTGTACTTTGTTTGAACAAATAACTCCTCAAAATGCTTGACAACCAAAAAAGATGTAGCATTGATGAATGGGTTTTCTTTTTTGAAAATATGCATGCATCAACTATAATCAGAGCCGTAGCTGAATAGAAGCAAGGGAAGCAAGGGTTGCGGCCCTTGTTATGCTTAATAATTTTTTCGGCCCTCAAAACAATAAGATTGTCTTTAGCCTAGTGGCTTTGTTTGGTATCCATTGACCTTGAGTTCGCGTGTTCGAGTCTCTGGTTTGCATTAAGTTTCTTTACAATTATGCATTTTTTTAGTGCGGCCCTTTTTTTTTCCTCGCATGTGGCCCTCAAAATCGTTGCTACGGCTCTGACTATAATATATCATTTTAACAACAACTAAGAAATCAAATATTACGAAAAAACTAAAAAAAATCTTTATTTGTATGTTATAATTTTATAATACTAGAATGTGCGTGAACTAATTTGTTTCATGATTTTCATACAAACTAAAATTATAATATACTAAAAACTTAAAATACAAATAATTTGTTTTGTGTGTTTGTTAAAGTAATCAATTTTCAAATTAAACATGAATAATTAAATATTAGATATATATTTTTTACGTGACATATAACCGAAATTCTACTAAAAATAAATATATTGAATTGAATTTTTAATCAATAAAAACAACTAACAAGAAAATTTACAGAAAGTCAAACGCTCAAAAATGAAAAAGCATTCTCTCCTTCGTTGAAACCCAACTAATCCGAAGTCTTTGGCATTCATATCTCTCTCTAGCAGAAAAAACTAAGGATACTTTCATTAACTCTGTTTCAGTTTTGGGATCAAGCGTTTTGTATCTTCTTTTTTTTGTTTGGTAACGAAAACAAAACGGCTGCTGATAAACAAACAACCCCAACGAGAGAATAAAAAAGAATTTACATATATATTCGCAAATAACAGAGTATAACTTTCAAATGGTGTTTGGAAAAAAGCAGAACTAACCGCTAGAACCTCCTTCATGGTGATGGGGGCGCTTGTGGCCGCCATATGTTTGACCTCAGATCGCTGCAAGATCTTAGGTTAGTGAGTTTTTTTTTTTTGGAGAAAACAAACGTTAAACCTAGAAAACAAGAAACTGGGAAGTAGGAGACTAATTCTTCCATTATTAACGAATGCAACAAATTTAAGGAAATAGCGAAGACCAAGTGGACGAGACTCGGTCAAGGTTAGGTATTGTGGAATTTGACTTTCTTTTACGTGTACACATCCTCTGATGGACGTCACACTCTCTTCGTCTCCAGACTCCCCACTTGGTGCTCTTGTTCGGGTCTTTCCATTTTGATGCCGTTTTTCAAGACAAAAACATGGTCAAGATGGATTCGCAATTTATTCGCAAAGACAATAATTTTTTGTCCTTCAAAGGTTTTTCTACGTTCAAGTCATACAACGTGACTGCTTGGAGTCTTGGAGATTTGAGATTTTTTGAGAAAAAGGAAAATGAATTTAGTTTTTCTTTTAGTGGGATGGAACTCTCCGGGTGATGAGTACGATCGAGAAGATCGTTTCCATTGAAGATCTAGGTAGAAAAAATAAAGATAAAAATGATATTGCCTCCGATGTAGGGCTGAAGAACCTCTTTTGTTTGAAGCGGGTACTTAACAAAGTACCTAATCCATTATTTAGATGGTACTAGTCATCTCGAAACAAAACATTTATGTAATGGGATTAGATCTCCGAATATATGAGATTTTGAAGCGGGGTAAGATAGATATCGGAGAAAATATTATAATTATATCCAATTTAAAAGATATAGGGCCTGATTGGTTTCGGCTGTGATTTTAGATTTTTGGCTATAGATTTTAGGTTGTAGATGTTTTGGTTGTGACGGTAGATTTTAGAGTTGTAGTATTTTTGCTGCAAAATTTAAAATTTTAGAAAGTTTAAACTTGTATGCTTTGGAAAAAAGTGTTTTCTACCGCCAAAAATATGAATTAAAGAAATATTTTGGTTGTGGAAAAAAAGAGTCAAATTTTCTAAAATTTAATTGGATTTATTTCAATGGTTTTGAATTTTTTTTTGCTTTACAAAGTTTATGAATCACTTGGCCAAGCTCAAAATCTAAATATGAAGCCCATTACGAAAAGGTAAAAGAATGAAAATGAAATCGTACTACCATTAACTCTGTTGCTATAGTCTTAATTCTAATGGGCCTACAAAATGAATATTAAGAACCATTGTAACAATTATAAGGCCCCAAATCAAACATGAATTATTTGACCAATGTAAAACTAGTTTTGAAACTTGAAAGTACATATTGAAGTTTAGTAAATCAAAATTTAACATGGAAAATCTAACCAATTAATGGAATGCATAGTAGTCAAAGGTTTAGCCAATCCAATTACAGAGATGACTAGTTGATTAGTACACCCTTCGATGATTAATAAGTTAAGTTCGTATTTTTTGACCAACCGTATTTATTTAAAAGACGAAAAGCTTAAAAAAATTACAGCATCAATAGGAGTCTTAGGACTGAAAAACAGTTTTACGAGAAAGTTTGATAGATCATTTGCTTTTCTCTGGATTAATAAGAAATTGGTGATAGAAACTTATTATGCATATTATAACGAAAATGAAACATGCCTTAAACAACAAATACTTATCTAAAATTCTAAAATTTCTTATCTTTAATTAACCCTAATTTCATTAAGAACTTGAATGTTGATTTTGTTTCCTCCATGTGCTTGGTTTATGTCTGAGGACTTACCTCCAAAGCATTCAGCTTATGACTCTCTGCTTCTTTAAATTCAAAGCCTCTACCAAATTTAAAAAATCTCTCAGCGACAGACTAATTATATAAAATTTTGGGTTAAAATGGACTGATTTTGTTTCAACCGATCCATATATTTTGCGAATTTTCCCGTTGAATTGATGTATAGAAAACTAACCAACTTCATTGATATGTACACAAACTACACATGTTTCATGCTTCTAACTAGTTATTCAAGTTAAATACTTTAAATAATATGAAATCATAAGTCCATAAGTCGCGTCGTATATTTTCAAGATCACACACAATTTTCAGCTTCTATATTTCTTTTTCTTTTTCATTTTCTGTCCACACTGTTCTCCTTTTATGTCCTCACAAAACTACTAGTCATTTGGTCGGGATCATGACAAATATTTTTTTATTAAATTAAAATCATTTTTCTTAAAATTTTAACTTGTGTTGGATAAAATCTTTGATAAGTTTTCTTTGCTAATTTCTCTTAGATTTACTAATATTTAAATAAAGAAAATTTAAGAAAATATACAAACTAACTGAAAATATGATTTGGATGAATTTAATTGGAACCTTTTCTTTTATAATTTATATTTCAGTAGTGATAAAGATTTGAATAATAGTCTTTGTAACGATTTAAAGTACTATTTTAATATTTTAATACTAAATATGAAAAACATAATTATTCAGAGATGAAATTAGCTAATCTTCCATGTCTCCTAAAAGAAGAAAAAGTTAGGTGTTCTAAGTTGTCTTTTCATATTTATTTTAAGGGTTAGTAAGATTTTTCAAATGTTTACAATCATTAAGATTAACTAGATATTACAGTACACATATTTTGGCTCTATTCGAACCCAATAAACCGTAAGTGGTGTACAAATGTACAAGTTCAATTTGTATATTTTCAAACAACCGGAACACATGTTCTTGATAACATCTAGTTCTAGCTATCAAGTAATGGAAGAAAAAATAATATAGTTTTCAAGTGGAGAAAGCAAAACAAACTATACATATAATAATCCTTGTGATAAGTACCACACAAGATTTTCTATCTTATTCAGATTTCTCTATTTGGTAGTCATCTTTAATATTCAGGTGCAACAGAACTTTACTGAGAAGATACATAATGTTTGAAACAAATAAGTAAAAGAACTCAAAATTCCCCAAGAAACATGATTTGGTGATGGCTGAAAATCTGAATCTTTGACTACTAAACAATAGTACTAGCTCTTTAAAAAAAATAAAATAATATGAGCTAAAAGTTTGAAAAATAAGGTCACGAGACTCACATAGTCACAAGTCACAACCTTTGATATATATCAGCCTCCACCACACACACACAATATAAATACATATGATCTTCACATATATATTATTCTCCTATATTCTATATTCTCCATTTTCATCTTCTCTCATATCTACAAGCCACACTTTTGAGGTTCAATATCTCTTATACTCTCTCTCTCTCTCTTTTGATTTTTTTCCTTTACATGTATATATATCTAGTTCAATCTTTCTGCAGATTAATTATAAGTAAAAAATTATATGTCTCTTAACTTTTTGTTGGGATTTATCTCTATTCTTGTATTAAGTTATAATGTTAATCTCCAACTGGGATCTAATTAGTTTTTTTTTCTTCAGTTCTTCTACATATATTAGATGGTGGTGAGGATGAGATCATTAGGGAAGATTGTGGAAGGCTTGAAGTCGAAGATAAAGACTGGTCTAAGGATGCGGAAGAGATCATCATTATCATCATCATCATCTTCATCTTCATCATCATCATCGTCGTCGTATGAGAAGATAGAGAAGAGTGAGAGTATGAGATTTGAGTTAAGAAGCAGAAAGGCACATAAAATTATACAAGAAACCCTTCAAATTGCTGACTCTCCCACTTCAAGAACATATGCTTTCTGATTTCATCTTTTTAACATCCAAAACATATCATACATACTTATAGATATGGATTTGCGTGTACGCATCTGTTTATACATATCTATCAAAAAAATTGTACGTTTGTAGTGTATGTATGTATGTATGAAAATTTATGTGTGATGTGATGGATCTCACCGTGGCGAAAGGATAATTAGGTGAATACATCAAATCTTAATAGTCATAATTCTGCCTTTTAATTGCATATTAAAGAAAAGTTTGTCTAGGTTTTACTCTTACCAATTTCATTCTATATCACGGAATTCAAGAGTTTGGAATTAAATCTTCATTAAAAAAACTTCTTATATATTTTACGTATAACTAAGGGGAGTAATACCTTTATATCCTTTTTTTGGTAAGGGTAATACCTTTATATCCTTGACCATATAAAAGAAATTCTGATATTTTTTGGGGAAAAAAACATAAGAACTTCATTTTTAT